ACTTGTGAAGGTAAACATTTAAAATCTCCGTATAGAGGCGGGGTCGAATACCTCCACTGTAGCCCTACGAGTCGTAAAAGGCGACTAAAAGGAAACCCGGTACCTGGGGGTTATAACCGGGACACTCTGTCACTAAACTAAAAAACTAAGCTCCTTGGCCTGCAGTCCTCAAGCGAACTATACTGACCGAGCGACCGCCGCTTGTCGGCGAAGTTAGTGCCAACTTCAGCGGATAGATGATGTCGCGTGGTCAGCGCAACGAATCCCCACGGCCGTTCATCTCGGTTTTTTAGACTGGAGCCGCTATTTCCTTGAAATAGCTCCTTAATTATCCTCACGAGGCTGAGCGGACCCCGTTTCAGACCCACTGCTTCTCAGAAAATTTGGCAGCTCCGAAAATCGAACCCGGGACCTCTGGATCTGTAAGCAGGAACTCTGACCACTACACCACAGAGGCGTTCGCACCCTGTCACTAGGAGACATAAATACAGAGACCTGGTCCTCCAGGTTAGTGGTTGGACGCAAGGCTGACGAACTTGCTCTGTGAATAAATTATTCTCTCGAAATTCAAAGAAATGAAAACCAGATCAAACATGGTGGAATTTTGTAACGCTACAGCTGAAATGGGGCTATTTTGCGAGTAGTGATGATGAGTGTTCAAATTATTTTTTCGGCCCAGCAGTCGAATTATGTGAAGGATTTGTGGTTCTCGCATCTGTGCCGCCTCTATCTACAGAGCCGAAGTCTAAACCATGCAAGACAGCATCATGAAGCAGGCCGGAAGCCCAGACATGTTCTCCTGAAAACCTGATTGAATTTCAGCGGACTGTACGGCGTTATATCCCAGGAGACTGAAATCCACAGATGGCTTTATGTTTGTGTTGGTTACCGTTCCTTTCTCTTGGTTTTGACCCTACTTATTTACGACAATATTCCATTACTTCTGTCACGTTTCTTACAAGCAGAACCTTCCTGGCTCTTCATTACGCAAACGGCTGCTTCGGAATAAAGATTTGTATATTTCTCAGCAGCATCCTAACACAATGAAACCCCTTCAGACGTCGTTGCTTTGAAAACTGGAGCTCGTGTGAACGATTGAAAAAGAACGAAAATTCTGAGTTTTGGTGGTCTCTATTTCATTTAAATCCAGCTTCGAGTGTAACAGTTCCGAAGAAGGAATTATTTTCGTCTGTGACATATACAAGAAAAAGCATTAAAATGCACAAGTCAGAACTAATGAAAGTAATCTGTTCTAGGTCACGACTCATCCGTGACGGACCGTTACTGAAACAGTGCGTTTCTGTTCTTCTATTACCCTGTGTGCTTGCAGTGTATGCCATAGTGTTCTGAACTGTTCTGCGGAGAGGGGCAAGGCGAGGTCCAGATGTTCCGCGAACTGGGAAAGTTTGGGAACCACTGGTACAATGAAGAACTAAAGACATTTTCGAGTAATACGATATAATGTTTCGTGGACGTCTCAGGTTCAAATCTCAGCCCTGAGATCGGCTATTATGACTGACGCTTTTCATTGTTTTGACCGAATACTCCCATTTAATTGCCGCAGCAGTACGTGAAAATAGGCCACGACCGCTTCCCACATCTTTCCAATTCATTACTCATCTCATAACTCGAAGGCCCCTGCAGTCTGAAACGCTGAGCATCTTCTTAAATAAGCAGAGAAGCTGTCAAACGTAATGTAACGTGAAGAGTTATATCGCCTGGGGCACAGTACCTTGTAGTCTGTTCAAAGTCAGTAGACGTTTCGGAGGAACAGATCACTTTCATCTGAAGGGCTGCAAAGAAAGCCAAGCAAAACACAAGCACGAAGCTGACAGCAAGAAAAGCGGCTCCGCTTGCTGCCTGCTTCAGCGCGGTTTCTTGCTTTGCTCATTGTTCAACTCCGAAGAGAGTCAATATGTTCCTCCGAAACGTCGTTTGACTTTCAGTGGTGTTACATCCTAGAAGACGAAACTTTTCATAGGAACTTCTGCGATAAGCTCGAATCCAGTTTCCTACAACGTTACCATGTTCTGACGTAGAAAGAGTCTGCGCATACAAAGTTCTTCACACGGATACGATAAAGCGACAGTAACAAATCTGCGGGACTACGAATCTATGCAACTGGGAAGCAGGCTTTCTGTATTCTGACTGAAACACCATCGCGACGAGCTATGGGCTGGACGACCAAGGCTCGATTCCCAGCAGGGGTAAGATTTTTCTATTATCCACAGCGTCCAGACCGGCTTTGGGACCCACCGAGCCTCCTATCAAATGGGTACCAGGGGTTCTTTCCCCGGGTATAAAGCGGCCGGTGCGTGAAGCTGATAACATATTTCCATCCGGGGCCGAAACCACCAAGAATGGTGGTGCTATACCTCCACTTCCCCATACATCTTCATGGCTTGGTGCTTAATTAACTATGCACAGGGACAAATTTACCTTAACTTTACTCCTTGTTATGGGGGTTGTTCAAGGTTAACGTCGACACGGACTCTCCTCACAGCCCTGACTTAGCATCCAGTGATTCCCGCTTGTTTCGGCCAAGAAGGAGCGAAATTTGAAGTTGACAATGAACTCGAACCGGTGTCCTGCACTGGCTACAAAGTCGGGATGCATCCCTTAATGCTAGTGGCATCAGCAACTTCCTAGGGCGGTGGAAAAACTGTCTTCCTGTAAAGGAAGCAAGAAGGTAAAAGGTAAAGGTGTTCCTGTGCTTAACTAATTAAGAACTATGCTATGAAGGCGTATGGGGGAGTGGATGTATAGAGCCATATTTTCTTGACCTCGGCACTTCTTGGAGACGAGTGGTCAGCTTCACGCCCAAGCTGCTTTGGCCCCGGGGAAAGAGCCCCCGATATCCATTGAGTAGGAGGCTAGGTGGGCCCCAAAGCCGGTCTGGATGACGTGGAGAAAATTTCCTAGCGGGAATCGAACTCCGACCTCTCGGTCGCCCAGCCCGTAGCCAGTATCTATACCGACTGCTTTATCCTGGGTCTCATTTGCCCGAAGGGACCGACGAAAACTATAAAATGTTGTCAGGATATCCGGTCTCTCAGTGGAGATTCGAACAGGAAATTTCAATACAACACGGGACTTCTAACCAATACACAACGACATTCGGTAATTCGACTAGAGGAATTGAGAGAACGGGTAGGGACGTGTATTCTGCTCCTCCATCTAGTACTGAGGCTCAGAATAGTGCATCCATACCTACATTCCCCCTTCCATCTCCATGGTGTGGTGCTTAATTAATTAGGCACAGGGACAACTTTACCTCAACTTTCGCTTCTCGTAAAATATCTCCTACTGGGTCATCGTCGCGTGCTTTTAGATTCATGTTGAAACTTAACTGCCTTTGTCCTGGGTTTAAACTTCAGAAATGGAGAGACCAAGCGAATAAAGCGCTGGTTCATTGTTGTAAGGAACGTACAGTCACATCTCACATGAAATAGCCATTCTAATTATCCTTATGAATCTACTGTCAATGCTGTGAAACAATAGGATTAAGCGTAACAATAACGGCACTTGGCAAGACGTTCAAGCAGTAACAGTTATGACACCTTCGGGAGGTACCCAGTTCAAACCTCGTTCCGAGACAAGGGACAAAGTTTTCTTGGTTTGCTCAGTCCCTCCAAGCAATGACCGCTTCCTTCCGCATCCTTTCCAATTCATTATTAATTGATCGTCCTACCTTTGAACATTATAAAAATCTGAAGCTGGCCGATCACAGTGGCCGCGCGGTCTAATGCATGAACTGTCTTCGCTCGCTCGAAAGCTGGGATCGTGGGTTCGATCCCACTCAAAGGCATGGATGTCTGTGTGAGTTAATTCTGTCTTCGTGCTGTCCTGTGTGCAGCCTTGGGACGGGCTGATCACTCGATCAAGGAGACCTACCGTCTGTGAAAAAAGATTATGAAATTGAAGAAGTGGTCAGGGCCCAAAAGAGGGCTGTAGAATCACTGATGAATGAATGAAGCACTGATAGCGTCGTTAAGTAAACTGTAAAGGTAAAGATAAAGCTATCCCTGTCATAGGCCATGGAGGCCCATAGGGTTGTGAGATGTTGAGAGTCCCACGTTTCCTCTAGGTAGTCGGATTACAGATGGCGGTAAGGTCAATTAGTGGCCGACGTACCAAATTTGACTCAGCCTCACCCCACCCAAACAAACAAAAAAAAACTAACACCAAAGGAGGGGCTGATTCATGTAACAGTTGATTAAATTCAATCAAAAATTACTTCGTTAAAATAAAGACGATTATAGAGCCTCTACCTAACACAGGAAAACACACACACAGAATAAGCACATACAAATAGCAAACACCCATGCCTTGTGTTAGATTCGAACCCACGATCCCGCCCTCTGAGCGAGCGAAGACAGTGGATGCCTTAGACTGCCCAAGATCTACGGCCATGTGAAACTAAGACGTAGATACCGCCAATGGTTCATCAAAGAGCGCCGAAAAACTGTAAATTAAATATGCATTTGGTGCAACCACGTCTTTATATTAAAATTGTCCCTGTGCTTAACTACGTAATTAAGCACTACGCCATGAAGGCGTTCGGGGAAGTGGATGTATAGATCCACGTTTTCTTGACCTCGGCACTAGCTGGAGATAAGTGCCAGTTTCACGACCCCCGGGAAAAGGGCCCCCGGTACCCATTGGACAGGAAGTTGGGTGGATCTCAGAGCCGGTCTGGAGGACGTGGAGAAGTAAAAATTCTTGACCCTACCGGGACGCGAACTCCGACCCCTCGATCGTCCAGCCCGTAGCTAGTCACTACACCGACTACGCTATCCCGGCTCCTACGTCTTTATATCACATTCTACAAAAAAGAAAATTAAACATTTCATATCTTTCGAAAACGACCACACCAAAAACTGTTTGGAACTAGTATAGCTATCACCTCAGAAGTTCGCACCGCCGCTACTTTGGCACTACTGATGGTATAACTTAGAAAGTAAGAAGGTGAGTGGTACTTAGTGGCATAATGTACATACCAATCAAGAAGACTGCTCGGCTTTTGGACTTTGCCCATCGTCCGGTATTCTAGAAAAACACAGAACACAACGTTTCGGAAACTGGATCTATATCCTTCTCAGTTGAGGGGTATTCTGTTGAGTCCGTCAGAAAGAGCTAACTTCAGTCACTGGACATCTTATGTTGGTCTGTCGGTCGGTCAGTCGGTTAAACTGCTCCTGCCCTCGACAGCACAGGCATTCTTGGCGTCAGGTCTCGTCCTAGACATGCACATGTTTTAGAAGTCAGTATAACTACATCTGCATACACATCTGAGATCAGGCTTTGGCCAATTGGGAGATAACGGGAACAAGTACAATACACATTTTGATTAAGCATACACAGACCTGAAACTAAGATAGATGATCTTGTAAAAATGTATGTAACAAACCTAGCCCATAAAAAACAATTCATAGGAATAATTTGAGAATTTCTTGTTCTGAAACCATTTCTTGCCTACCGCTAGAGCCATTTAAAAGCTAAAGCTATCCCTGAAACAGGCCGTGAAGGACCATAGAGTTGTAAGACGTCGAGTCTCCCATATTTTCTAGACAATCGGCTCACAGATGACGGTAAAGTTTTCAACTTTAAGCGCCGGCCGCCCTTTACCTCCCAGGAAGATTCCTCGTACTCATTTCTCTTTGACTCTTACAGTCAAGAGGCTGAGTCGACCCCAGGGTCATGAATCCCGGGTATAAGAAGAATCTGTCAGATTATACTGACTTCCCTGAGTTCCTAATCTCAATACTGAGAAGAGAGGTCCAAATGGGAGAAATGTCCGAACTGGTTTGGCTGCTCGCATTGGTCAAACTTGATATATGGGCCGATTCCTTGTATTTCCTATGCCTGCTGTTACTTGCTACACGCCGGAAGGTCGCAGATTTGATTCCCAATGAAGTTACAGGTTTTTCAATTTACCTAATCCTTCCAGTCGCACTATGGCCCTCGGATCGACTCAGCCTCAAACAGAAATGAGTCCCAGGAACCTTCCTGGGGATAAAGGGCGGCCGGCACGTAAGGCTGACCTGATCGCCATCAGTGAACCAAATGTCTAGAAAAAACGTGGGAGCCTCGACGTCTTACAACCCTATGGGTCTGCATGGCCTGTTATAAGGATAGCTTTACCTTTTAATGCATCTGCACACATATTTTCAATTGCTAATAAATCACGGATTTAAAATGATCAACTCCGCAGAAATGTCAGCTGCAATGTCAATTATAAAAGAAGCGCCATCAGCAAAAACTCAAGACGATGGCCATGAAGTTCTGCATCATCGGTGCAAATAGGAGTTACTGCACCACTCTCATGCCTCGGGGCTTAGGAACGATGATTGGGAAGGAGGGACACATTTGGTCTTCGTGTAAGTAATCTGCTTCGACACAAATTGTTAAGAAAACACTTATTTCTGGAAATGTTTTGACTAATATACGAGGGACAGTTTGTAAATAAGTCACAAATGGATATAAAACGTAAAACGTATGATATTCGAACCTGGGAAAAAAAACACATTTTTTCTCGACATATCCTCCGCCAACATTGATACACTTGTCCCATTGCTGTATCAGTGCATCGAACCCCAAAGCACTGAAGTCTTCTGACTGTTGTCTCAAACTCTTCCGCACCCGGTCGGACATCATCTACTACTTTCAAAAGTTCTCCAGGGAATGTGTCGACCCGGTTGTGAATCGCTTTACGCGACAAACACTTCCCACCGTAGATAGGAGATATTTCTTTAATAATATCCTTTGAACTGAGTCCTTTTGCCCACAACAAAAAAAATAGCACAACAGAATGCTGCTCTTCGACAACACACTCAAGCACGGTCGCCATTTTGACTACTGCTCAGGCTCGCGTTCCAGTAATGCATCCAACTATATATTTTTTTATTGCTAGTTAGGTGGGACTAAGTCCCTTGTACTGCGGCCACTTCTGGCCTATTGTACCAGCCCCACATGATAGGTGAGGGTGATTGTGGAGCACTTGGTGGATGAAGATTGGCAGGGGAAGCCGAAGTACTCGGAGAAAACCCGCCCCAGCACTTCGTCCACCACAAATCCCACTTGACCAGGGCCGCCGCGGTGGGAAGCCAGCGACTAACCGCTTGAGCTATGGCGCGGCCATCCAACTATAATTACTAGGTTCGAATCTCGGTCGAGTTTCCATCTGTTCTCTTGCAAGGGTTTTCGTTCTTCTGCAGAGCTCTTGCGTATGTCGTGACAGTGCCATAAACTGAGCAAGAACTGTCTTCTACAAATTCCTTACCTACTCACACTTCACCTCATTTAACTCTACCTAACCTCTGCAGCTGAATCACTGTCGCTAAATAACTGAATCTGCATTTTTCATTTACAGCTAACTATATCGCACTCACGAAATTATGCCTATGTATTGATTTAGAACCCGAAGTTCAAAAACTGTTTATTTATGTATTTTTATTTGTATATTTATGATTTAAAAGGGGGAGCAGGGATAACTTATCGGCATAGCGACGTCCAGGGCTCGATTCCCGGCGGAGACAAGATGTTTTTCTCTACTCCATAGCTCTCAAACCGCAACTTCCCAAATACTCACGCCTATCAGGAGCTATTACAACTCATTTAACGTTCCGTGACCAACTACTATAAGATCTAGTTCCTATCTAAGGGTATGGAGCCGGGTCAGCTCAGTCGATATAGCGACGAGGTTAACGTTGAACAGTCGCGAAGTCTGGGTAAGGGCAAGAGATTCTTCCCTTGTCCACATTCTCCAGACCGACTCTGGGGCCCACTCTACCTCCTATCCAAAGGGTACCGGGGGGNTAGATAGAGGTGAGTGAATAGCTTCATGCCCCCCCCCTTGCTTTACCACCAAAGAAAGACGGGGATGTTTTCCTCAGGAGGTAAAGCGGTAGAAGCGTGAAACTGACCACTCACCTCCATCTAACACCGAAGTTCAGTATGAATAGACACACGCCTCCAAGCCTCCCATATGCCATCAAAGACTTTCACACTGCCAAAACGATTTCTTTCCTGTAGCTGTAACATGAATTTACAGATTTCGGATTTCATAGCAGCATTGCCTACATGCGCACAGTAACATTTTCGTTTGGCAACCAACCAAGAATTCAAAGACGCAAAAATATCCAAACGAAGTCACAGGACATTCTTGTCCCACGTTATCTGAGCTCAGAGAGGCACGTCATCGTGACTCGAGAACCTTATGACGGGTCACACCAGACCCGCCTGAACCTGCGCTAAGCTCGTCACTGACCGAACAGGTCTACATATGCTACCTTACGAACATGACTTTGTGCTGCCTTATGCAAGGCGACTTGAGTTATCTGACACAAACTACAAGAACAAGCCCCAAGTCAGTATCCTTACTTACTTACAGACCATTGTAGGTCGCGATGCAAGGGCCGAGAAGGCCCACCCCTTATACATTCATACATTAATTTACTTACTTACTCATGGAACTGAGCCCTTCCTGAAAAGCCAACAATTCTGCAGCTACTCAAGTATTTACCAGCATTTTATGGAACCCGAAGGTTCATTATCTTACTCACAAGATCCCTCAACTGGTCCCTATCCTGAGCCAGATCAATCCAATCCATACCATCCCATCCTATCTCTCTAAGATTCATTTTAATATTATTAACCTGCCTACGCCTCGGTCTTCCCAGTGGTCTCTGTCCTTCTGGCTTTCCCACCAATATCTTATATGCATTCCTCTTCTCCACCATTCGTGCTATATGACCTGCCCACATCATCCTCTTTGACTTGATCATTCTAATTATACTTGGAGAAGGGTACAAGTTATGAAGCTCCTCATTGTGCAGTTTTCTCCAGCCTCCTGTCACTTCATCTCTCTTCGGTCCAAATATTCTCCTCAATACCCTGTTCTCAAACACCCTCAGTCTATGTTCCTCCCTTAATGTCAGAGACCAAGGTTTCACACCCATACAGAACCACGGGCAAAATTATAGTTTTGTATATTCTATTATGTTTTTAGATAGCAGACGAGAAGACAGAAGGTTCTGGACTGAATGGTAGCAAGCTTTCAAGTCAGTATCCACCCAACGGAAATTCATCTTCTGGTTACAAGTACTGGAAAGTATTTTAATGGTATGAGGTAACTAGCAGTTGATATTCTATCACCTGCCCGAGGCCCCTTTTATGAAACCTGCAGGTACTGGACCTATGCTGAACTACCTCAATCTGATCCAAATTTCACACCTTACATCCCTAATATTACAATCATTATTGCTGTATCAGTGACTATGACTCCCATATGATCTCTACCACTGAGGTTTTCCAAGCACAATTTTATATACAAAACATAAAAAAAAAACTCGGTGGCCTAAAGTCCGCAAGCGAACTATACCGCCACTTGTCGGCGAAGTTAGTGCTAAATTTTGCGGATAGAGGGTGTCGCGTGGTCAGCGTAACGGATCCCCATGGCCGTTAATCTCGGTTTTCTAGACCGGAGCCGGTTTTTCCTTGAAATAACTCCTCAATTATCCTCACGAGGCTGAGTGGACCCCGTTCCACGCCCACTACTTCTCAGAAAATCTTGTACACCCCTCATTTATCAATGCTTGAGACGGGTCTCACTTATCTGATCCAACTTCAATTTAATCAACGAACCACTCCATGCATCAGAATCCTTCTTTAAAAGCCAACAGTCGCTTAGCCTGGATGGCTCATGAGCTCTAGGCTTGAAGCCCGGGGTTAGATACCCAGCAGGGGCAAGATTCTCTACTCCACGGTATCCAGCCCGGCCCCGGGGCCCACCCAGCTCCCTACACAATGGGAACGAGAGCTCCCGCGAGTAGAGCAGCCGGAGCGTGAAGCTAACAACTCGTCTCCATCTAGTGCCGAGGTCAAGAATGGCTGAGCTATACCTCCACTCCCACATACGCCTCCATGGCGTAGTGTTTAGCTTGTTAAGCACAGGAACAAATTTACTTTTGAAGGTTCATTACTGTGTCCACAAGAGCCAGCCACTGGTCCCAATCCCAAGCCACATGAATTTATTCCCCATCCTCAAA